TGACATAGCATCATGGAAGACACATGGTGCAAAAGTTTGAACAGCAGGGCAGTGGTCATCAAGAGCAAAACACCAAGGAGGAATCAGACAGGCCACGATACCAAGTAATTAAGATGACACTGAGGACACTGTGTGTGCAGTTTCTGTAGTGAAGACAGTAAGAACGTAAGTCTGCCACCACGCTAGCTGAGAAAAAGAGGACTGTTGATAACAAGTAAGTGTAATCAGTTGTGGACCTTGATTGAGAAGTTGGACAGCAAAAGAGGAAGGAAGAACAGGACAGTAGCCGGAGCTGGTGGTAGGGCCCAATGAAGAGGATCTTCGTTTCTGTTTGCAGGCAGAGAAGAAAGAACTGGTGGAGAAGGAGAGATTAAGGGGTAATATTATTATTATTTATTTATTTATTTATTTATTTATTTATTATTTTTTGTGTGTGTGAGAAGATCAGCCCTGAGCTAACATCTGCCAATCCTCCTCTTTTTGCTGAGGAAGACTGGCCCTGGGCTAACATCCATGCCCATCTTCCTCTACTTTATATGGGACGCCACCACAGCATGGCTTGCCAAGCAGTGCCTCGGTGCCCGCCCGGGATCCAAACTAGCAAACCCCGGGCTGCCACAGCGGAGTGCGTGCACTTAACGGCTTGCGCCACTGGGCCGGCCCTAAGGGGTAATATTATTAGTAAAAGCAGTAATATATATTCGTTGGAAACATAATAGCACCAACTTTGTAGGTATTACCGTTATAAGGAGTAAGTGATTTTGCAACTCTACACGTCCTCTCAGTTAAAGCTCCAAACGACCTTGTGGGATCCCACAGCCACCTGTAGGTGAGTACATTAAGCAATGTCAAATTAGTCATGAGAACAATGGGATCAAGTAGGTAGTTGAAAGTTTTAGCCTTTTTGCTCATATATTTGGAAAATAATGTGAAATCAAATATTAAAAAAAAAAAAAAAACACTTTGGGGCCGGCCCTGTGGCTTGGTAGTTGGGTGCGTGTGCTCCGCTACTGGCGGCCTGGGTTCGGATCCCGGACGCACACCGACGTACCACTTGTGCGGCCATGCTGAGGAGGCATCCCACATACAGCAACTAGAAGGATGTGCAACTATGACATACAACTATCTAGTGGGGCTTTGGGGAGAAAAAAGGGGAAAAAAGGAGGAGGATTGGCAACAGATGTTAGCTCAGGGCCAGTCTTCCTCAGCAAAAAGAGGAGGATTGGCATGGATGTTAGCTCAGGGCTGATCTTCCACACACACACATGCACAAAAACATTTAAAATTGGATCAGAAGAGAGTGACAGGGAATATAAACATGTTTGTAGAGTCAAGCTACTGAAAAAATAAGGTTGATAAATCCCAGGGAGAAATAACCAGGATGTTGACGTCATACCAAGGAAAAATCAAGATGGTGAGAAAGAAGATGGGCTGGTTGCTGAAGACATAGAGGAGGATGGAATTGCCCTATCAGGCTGATAGACATCATGAGCAGTGATTTGTTGCTCAATCCCTGTTTTGGCCAATTTTCTCTTTTAAAATCCTATTGTCATTGTATTTGTATTGTTAGGAAGTCATGTGTCACCAAAAATGAAGACTACAGGGACATGCTGGTGTGACCTCAACACGACTACTGCCCTGACAGTATCCAAGGCCTCCAAAGTCCTTTAGGAAATCAAAAAGAAACACTCAAGCAAGGGCGTGACCAAGTTCAGCATTTTAAAATTAGTCACAGTTAATTCCTATTGGAAGTTACTAAATTCCATTAAAAGTCACTTCCAGCAACATTTTCTTTAAGAGTCAACCTATTTTTAAACCTACAAAATGAATTTTAATTCAAAATAGCCATTGATTCCTCAGAGGGGTTACCCAAGTAATTTACTTTATATTTAAATAAACGTAAGATTGATGAGAAAACTCCAATAGAAAAAGCACTCTGGATTTATTTCTATTTCAAAGTTAAACTTCCCATCTTAGAACTAACCCACCCCAAACAGGCTTTTCTGTGGTGCTACACAGAGGGGAGTTCCCCTACACGTTTAGTTTGCCTGGATAGGCAATGCATTACTAGTTAATTAACTGCCATGCAACCTCCGCATTAGATTTATCTCTGCCAGACCTGGTAACTACCTTAAATTTTGTTTTGGGGGGAACTTCCCATTGTCAAGCATATTTAGGCATGTGTGCGTACACATATGCAGAGGTGAAGAACTACATTTTATTTCCCCTTTTCTGGATGGAAGGATAAGAGGCACAAAGCCCGACGGACTTTAAAGGTATGCCACTTACCATCATCTCGGTGACCAAGGTGGAAAGCTGTTTCTGTATCATGGAACAGCTTTCCCTGACTGACAAGCCACAGAAGAGCAGTAAAGCCAGCAGTCTTAGTGTTGGGACTGTGCGGACAGAAAGAAGTGCTGGAGATTTCCTGTGCACTAATGCAGAGAACGCTTCAGAACCTCAGACAGCTCCCACCTCGGCTACTGCGCTCCCGAACAGCTTACATAAATGTTTTAAATGGTACAGAATAACATGCAACGTGTTCCTAATTAGTTGCATATCTTCAGGTTTAAATTTGGGTAGCAAAATGGTTACTCAAGACTCTTTAATCTTGACAAGATCTGGTATCAGAAACGCAGTTTTTATATCTACTATCTTTCTTTGACTAGTACTTCTTAAGCAAATGGCAGCCATTGTCCTGGGAGAAAAAGTGAGTTGTTTAATACGTACACGTGTCTTTTAGCAAATTTTTAGACATAGCTTTCCCAATCTTGAATAACTTTTCTGAGAAAAGAATAAAAGTTTTCAAGAAATTGATGCTACATTTACCTCTGTGTCATTGGTTTAAGCACACATTTTAAACATATATATGTTTCTACATACCTCATAAGGACACTATATACACATACACTATATTTATACCTACACCTACCCACACATGCACACTTATGTATTTTCAAGGAAAAAACAATGATGCCAGGACTTAATGAATCTAAGTTAGATATGTTGTTCAGAGCCATAACAGCAGAAACAATTTGCAAATGTTAAATCTTCAATTTGTTCCTCAGTACAACTCTTTTGCTTTTCTGAGAAACAGTTCTAGACAGATGTCAAACTGAAAAGAAGGAAATATATGCTACAAGCTAAGATGAAGAAAAAATAATAAAATAAAAAAGATGGGTGGAGACCATCTGAAACAACTCAGAAGCTCTTGCCTTTCCTTTCTCCTAGCGACACCTAGCGCCTGTTGAGAAGAAATTGCACATTGTTCTCCAAATAACACCATTCGACAGTGTTAAGTCAGATTTAAGGCAAAAAGTGCATCATTTCTGTCTGCATTGCAGCTCAATTCTTTTCCCCAAGATTATTGGTAGTTTAATCCCCCAGAATTCTTCACCAACCCCAATGAAACCTCTCCCCAAAGACTTCTAGTTCCTTGAACCAGATGAGTGAAGAAATCACGCATTTCCCTCAGGACCCGGCCCAATGAACCGAGGGATGTCTCTCGGATATCTCTCTATCTAACCAGGGGAATCTGGAAATGACACAAAAGAAAATCACACACACAATCCGATACAGAGTATGTGATGTGTGTGTGTACACCCACAAACACATCTCCCACAAACTTTCGTCATCTTTATAGTCTCCACATCCTCCATTCATAAAACAAAAATGACCAGTAACAGCAACAAAACCCTAGTGACTTTTTCAGAATTGTCCCTCTGAAAGCACTCAACTTCCCCCACCCCCCGCACTTTTCTTGTACTATAAAGGAAACACCAAATGGTGAAGCGGTGTGACCCAAGGCAGGACTTTAATGACCACAACCTCCGGCTCAGTGCAGGGACATGTACCGTCCAGGGTATGTCAGGGTAGGCATCTGAGAGGCTTGTGTGAGGACCAGTGCCCTGGTGCCCCAAGGTGGGAAACTCCTCAAAGGTACATACAATGGATTCTACAACCCAGCACACCCTGAATATCTCCAAGTGCTGTACCAGCCAAGCCAGCCCTGCCTGCCTCTCTGGGAGCTTGTCTGGGATTTTTCTCTTTTCCCTGGGGAGAGAAGGTCTCAAAGAAAAACGGCAGCTTCCTGGTCCTCCCTGGCCCTCTGAGTCGCTAGAAGGGATCAATAGAAGTGGTTGAACTCATCCATCTTTGCAGCCGGCTGATGCCCTGCCTGAGTCATCGGTTACTAAGGTGATATGCAAATCCAACCTTTGAAACCCAGGCTTCCAGCCCCGAGAAGAGTAGGAAACGGGCTCGCAGAGAAGTTTTCAGCTCACACAGTCTAAGGTAGAGTTGCTAGTCCAAGGTTAGGGCATGGGAGACAGGCAGGGCCTGACTCCCACCAGCAAAAATGATGCTGGGCCCTGGGACAGGAAGTTGGGCCTCGGATGCTAGCGCTTCTGTTTATTTATTTTTCTGTAAAAGAAACCCACCACTACCAGCACTACCAGCACTGTGGGGAAAGGTGTCTTGGAGAAGTAAGAAGTGGAGGTGTGTGAGTGAAGGGACCGCGTGGGGGAGGTGAGCAGGGCACGACGGATGGATTCCAGTGACAGGTGGGAGGGGGACAAAAAGAGCCTGGGACAGTATCTTCCCAGAGTCTTAAAGCAGAAAAAAAGAAAAGAAAAATCAACTTGTAGGCACAGACAAACCGAATTCTCTCCTTAGGATCCACAGCACCATGCAGTTAACAGCAGACATCCACACATCCCTGAAACCCCCAGCCAGTTCCACATGCCAGCAGCGCAGCACCACAAACGCTGCTTTCTCAAGCCACCAACTCCTGGCCGCCGCCGCTGCGGAGAGACCCGCTCCAGAACCGCGGTGACCGAGATCCGCGCGAAGGAGTGTATTTGTGGGCGCTCCCGGGAGTGGTGGGGGAGGGGAGAGGAGGGAAGAGGGCGACCAGGACCTTTGGAGACGCGGGGCGGACGCGTCTCCCGCGCACTCGGCCCCAGCCCCGCGCCGCCCCCCACCCACCAAGATGCTCTTACGTCCTCGTCGTCACAGTCGCTCCGCGCCTGGTACTGGAACCGGGGCCGGCCACCAGCGCCGCCGCCACGGCCGCCGCGCTCCCGGGGCGCCGCCGCCGCCTGGGCTCCGAGGGGCTTGGGCCCCGCGCCGTCCTCCTCGGGCCCCTGGCCGCCCAGGAGGTGGCTCGCCTCCGGGGGCGCCGGGAAGGACCGCGAGGTGTTGATCTTGCCCGTGAACCTCTGGTACAGCGAAGCCATCGGTCCCCGCGCGCTCTCGCTGGCTGTCTTTGGGGCGTTTTTATATTTTGCTTTCTCTCTCTCGGGTTCCCGCTCCCCACCCCCTCCAGGGGGGACAAGGGGGCAAGAAGGAGGAGGAGGAGGAAGGAAAGCCGGCAGCGGTGGCCGCTCCTCCGCGCGCCACTCTCTAGTCGCCGCTGGGCGACTGCCTGGCTCAGCCTCCTCCGCCCCCTCCCCCGGCGGCTCGCGAGGCCGGGGGTCTGGGGGTGTGTTTTCTCTCTCTTCTCTTTCCTGTTTTTTTCAACTCCTTGCCACGGCCGCGTACGGCCTAATCGAAGACATTGACACAAGGAAAAAAACAAAAAAACATAAAGGGAGGGAAAATGCCTAGGCCCCAGGATTTGGCACCACCTAGAGACCGGCGAACATCCAGAGCGAATCTCCTCGCTCCCCCCGCTTCCCCGGTCCCCTGCGCGGCTCCTCCTTCCCCTCCCCACGCGGCCCCCTCCACCCAGGGTACATAATGGCGCCTGGGTGGCAGGGGGCTGGCGGCGAGGAGGGGGCGGGCGCCACGCAGGTCGTGGGTGCTGGTTGGGAGGGGGGTGGGTGCGCACTGGGGGCCCTGGGCGCTCTGGGCCCTGCCGGAGGTCGCACCCCCAGGGTGCGCAGAGAGCGCAGGAGAAGAGGCGGACAATGAGGAGGGGGAGTTGGAGGGACTAAAGGAAGGGGCAGCACCCCGAGGCGCCCATCCTCGGCGCCCGGCTGCACTCCGCGTCCACAGGCTCGCCTCGCTCGCAGCTGCAGCCTTGGCTCCCTCCGAGGCGCTCCCCCTCGTGTTTTCCTTCCAGCTTTTCTTGCCTAACTTGCACCAACAACAGCCAAGACCCCCGGGGCGTGTGGTGCGATGGGGGTGAGGGAGACCGAACAGCGGGGCTGGAAGCGAGGCCGGCTTGTAAGGCAGGGGCTCAGGGGACTTGGGTTTCTGAGGAGCCTCCTTCCTTCTCAAACCAAGCTTTTCTCCGAAAACAGATCCATTTTCCTTCACCCAGTCTCAGAAAGAGGAGAAGGAAACGGTCACGGGAGGCGAGCGACCGAAGGCCTGGTGGGAACCTTCAGAGCAACTCGACTAAACGCTCCTCGCCACACACCCCCTGATTTGTGTGCATCGAGAACTCCATTTTCATTTTCGATAAATGCAGGCAGGGGGTGAGACATTGGGACGCCGGCAACTTTTCCAAAGCTTGCTCCGCCTCCTCCCCCAAACCCCCGCGGAGAGTACGGGAGCGGGGAGAAGGGACACCAAACCGGGTGCGCTGCACAGCGTGCGCGTTGGCTTCTCTTGCTGCATTAAAACGTGCTCCAGCGCCCCTGTGTGGAAAGACACAAACTGTGCCTCGTGCTCGGTTCTGACTCCACACCACAGGCTGTTCGGGTTTTCTCTTCCCTTTCCTGGGGCGGATGCCTCCCTCCTTGCCTCTGGGATCCTGCCTCTCCTGCTGGAACCCGCGCCTCGTCTTTCTGGAGGATCTGGGCGCTCTTCCTCCTCGTCTCATCTCCCATCCTCCTTGCGCGGCCCCTTCCCTTTTGCAGCCCTCCAGCTGGGATGATCTGACCCATTCTGAGCGCTAGCCGGGACTAGGGACCCCAAACTCCAGAGGGAGGGGACAGGTGCAGAGGGGCTGCTGCAACTTTGCTGCTCCTTCCATACCAGGTCAAGGTGGGCAGCTTCATCTTCACCTTCTTCCAGGACTCAGCGGGGCCCCCTGCTCTGCCGAGGTTTCTATGACCATTATCATTTAGGTTTTCAGAAAAATAGGCGAGGTCGTGGCCTCTCCGCAGGCCATACTGCGGGCCCGCCAGCTTTTGTTGGGTCTGGCCCCACGGTGATCTCCTGGCACCACTGCCCAAGGCCAGAAATCCCAGAGAGAGACCCTGCCGGGTCCTGAAATTGCCTCCTCCCTCTGCGTCCTTAACCTGGAGAGAGAAACTGGATGCCGGTGAAAGAGTCTCCCGGGAGAGGACACCCGCCAATCCCTTCCACATCCTTCCCAAGCTCTCAGCCCGGTGGGTAGTCTGGTTTTAATTAAAATTTATACCGCACCCATCCTCTGTTTAATCCTCTGTGGTTCTCCTCCACTATGAAGAAAAGTACAATCATTAAAGTAGTTAAAAACATGTTTCCTTTACAGCAACTATAAAAACAAGTAAAGCCAGACTCTGAAAAGCTGGGAGGCTCCCCGCGCAGCAAAAGGCCTGTACTGCAGAGGCAGCCGTCCCGCCCACACGGCTGGGGTGCCGAGAGCCGCGCCCGCCTCGCTTGACTTTGAAGGCAGAAGCAACAATTACAAGAGCCATAAAACTAAACTTTAAAAGTCATCACATTTAGATAAATAGGAAACCTTGCTCTCATCCCCCTCCCCCACCCCAGCTGTGCCTTTGATGGGAGGAAGCTGCCCTTCAGAACACGGCTTGAAAGGAATGCTCCTGCTGCTGAGTCTGCACCCAGACCCTGACATTTCTCTAAATATAGACGCCGTGAGGGTCTTACTTATGTAATACATATGACATATATATGAAATATGCACGTATATATTTACACAAACGGTTAGAAGGATTATATGTATATATTTCTTGTACTAATGTATTTTATTCAGAATATAGTATTTATATGGAAATAGTTTATATATATCATACACAGTACTTTATAGATGTACCTATACCAACAATAACAGATTGAATGTGGGATAAAAGGCACATGTGTCCCTCACTTCTAAAATTATATTCTCAAGTGAGCTTGAAGGTATTCAAATTACAATTTGGTCAAAGTTACTAATCCTAGTTAAATTATCCAGACAATATGATAATCAATTTCCACTTAAAATTATTTATAAAATGAAAAAAATATAAAACATAAACAAATGGGGGAAGAGCTGAGGTACATAATTTGAGTTGAGAGAATCAAATCTGAAAATTAAACAAGAGAAATGAGGGTGGGGGGAGTCAAGAAGAACAAGAGCCCCTTAGAGGCAAGTGTGGAGGGCAACGGGATCCTAGTGAAAGAACGTCGACACGCGCGCCTTGGCACGCGCCCCTCGACACCCACACCTCTGCACGCGCGCCTCGGCACACGCCCTTCGAAGCTTCTCGGGGTATAATCTAGATTGAGGCCCTTTAACTAACTTAAAAAGAATTTGGCTACTTTCTTTCACCTTGCACATTGAACACAACTCCTTTTAAAGAATGTGTCAGACTTTGAGTGTGAATTTGTGCATGCGTGTCTGCCAGCCTGTGTGCACTCACACATCCACATTTGTCTTCAACATTGATGCACAAATTGCAATAATCTGTAGATATACTGTCAGGATTCTAAAGTCCCAAGTGCAAAAGAGTAAGCAGGTTAATATTTTAGGATGAGTGACGTAATGCAATTGCAGGGACTTGCAAGCTATGGCATTTTATGTTTATGATACATAATTCACTCATTGCCCTCAATAATCTTTTCAGAACCCATTCCCAAAACAAGGAAGAAGATGTTCTGAAGAGCAGCAAAACTTCCCAATGGGCATTGAAATATAGGTGTAGCATTTCTGAAGGAAACAAGTCAATCACTGCCTCCACTCAGCCTGTCGTTGAACATCTTGAATACCCTACGCTGATGTAGATTTCCGTTCCTGCTTACTGGGTAAGCATGGGACACTACTTTTGAAAACATTTCATGGATTATTTCATATAAATATTTTAATTCTTCAATACTGCTTAAAAGCCATGTCCACTAACCCATTTTTCCATCTAGTTTCATGTGATTATTTCTTCCCTACTTACTAAATAAAGGTGTGAGTGTGTGTTTATTTTCTCTGGAACCAATTTATAAAACAAATATGAGAAGTCATTGGAATTAGGCAGATGCTGCAAAATATGGTGGATAGTCATTTTTAAAGTGAAAATAAAAGGAACTTTTTGGTCTACTTGCAAGCTAGGCATCGTAGGAAGAACAAAAGTATATTGAGTTCAGCAGCCTAAGCATGATTTTTATTAGCAAAGAGGTTTTCTTATTTCTAGGAGAGAATTATATCCTGTAGTTTATTTTCCCTTTCCCTGGGAGGAAAAGGAGGAGGGAAGAACCCTATTTAAGATTTTTATTCTTTTCCAAACACTGATCTTCAGAGAAATGAAATGGCCAGTGTAGCACACTGATGGAAGGGCTTCCCTAAACACTGGGCATCAGGATCTTTTAGATATTATCACCCTGTATTTGTACAAATGGAGAGAAATAAAGCAAATATTTGGGTAGCTTGAGAAATACAGTGTTAAATACATAAATACAATGCATATTCTCAACCAACTCTCTCTCTCTCTCTTTCTTGAAAGAAAATTTTTTTGCAAGATGACTACCAATAAGTGTCTGGGTAGTGTGAATTATTTACAAACTTGACAAACAGGAAACGTCCAGCACAAGAAAAAGAAATTGCTGTTCCCAGCTTTTAAAAACCACAAAGTTAAAGTATGAATTGAGTTAATTTTGAGCTTTCCAAATTGATACTTAAAGATTAATATGTTTTAGTGGAAAATGTTTATTTTAACCCAACAAAAAGATTTACTCTAAAATTAAGTTAAATGCTAATCTCCTAATAGCAGTTTTCTCTGCATTTTAGTACTGCCATTGTGCAACTGCCTGCTTGTTACACACAGTTCAAAACATACACACAACTAACTGCCCCAGGGGCAGGTGCACAGACACACGTGGTTATATCAGCACAAACGGTCAAGTTGACTGTCAAGTAAATAAAACAACCATTGATTCAACTAAGTGGCTGGTGTCCACCTAGGGAGAGGATTTTATTCTTAGCCAGGTGGGGGTTTGTCAGATCCCACCCTTGGATTCTCTCTCTCCATCACCTCTACCCTTGGGCATTGGACCATAACACACCTCCTCTCTCCTCCCACTTTTCCTCTTCCCTTCTTCTCGTTCTCTTTCTTTCATTCTTGTCCTTGCTCTGGATCATTATCAGTAGGTTATATATTTTTTTCTCTAAAAATTCCTTGATGCTCTCTGAATACTCATAAAATCTTACTTTTTATTACTAATGTTGCCCCAGAAATTATCCAAATAATCACTTTACCTCCTAGAGGAGGCGCCAACTTCTATCTTGGTCACGTTTTCTGATTATACAGCCATGGCTTCCGCAATGTTTTCCACAGCTCTTAAGATTTTTAGAGCATGGGATATAGAAGA